GGATACAACAACCAAGGCTTCTATATCCTGGATTATCCTTAGAGAAATCGCCATATCAGAGGGGAAAATCACAGTCCGAAGGGGAAGAGGGAGGAGAGGGAAGAGTGTAGTGAAAAAGGAGAAGAGAGAACCAGAAAATATTCACGTGAAACTCGACCTAACCGATCACGAGAAAAAAAAAAAGGGAAATGTGAACCGATTTGTCTACTGTCGATGGATAATTTAATATATCCTTCTGAATTTAATCAGATTTTTGTTTCACAAATCGATTTACATCTTCTATCAAATATAAAGTTTCCTTCTCGTTTTATACGAAAAAACCTCCTGCCCTCGAATAATTTCGTATTTTCTCCAATTTCGAAGATATATATGGAAAATACGAATAGTGTATTGGGATGAATCACGTAGGGACACGTGTAAAAGGAAAAGGTATTTAAAAAAAATGCTCCGACAATGAAATTTTTCCGGGTCTATTCGAACGGGAATGTCGTCATTAGCTCGACCAAGCAACTTTATCGACTCAATCTATTAAATCCCAGTTGGGTTGACAGAGAACAAGCAACATCACCCTATTACTCTACATAATGCAAATTCATTCTAGCACTACCATAAAGAACAACCGGCTGCCCCCCACACCCACCCCGTCTTTTCCTATTCATTCTGCTTTTATTCGCCAATCTATTCTTTTATTCCTCTATTAACCCGGACCAAACGGAAGTTTAATTGTGATCGAAGCAAGAACAAAGGAGTCGTCCGAGATCGGCAGAGCGAGCTCGACCACCCCTCATCGCCGGCGGAACGAGCAGGGTGTTCGCTAACGCGCCTCGCCCCGCTCCCACCCGACCCACCCCCAACCCCACGTGCAGCTTAGCTGTGCGAACTTAATGTACTGTCTAGATGGAATTCAGCAGGGAGGCAAGGGCAAAGGGGGAGGGTAATAAGGAAATATGGAATAGGAGCCTATCAGGTGATCCAAAAGAATGCAGACTCAAATAACACAATGAAAGAGCGACGAGAGACACACTTGATGAATAGAGGACCATATATATATGAGTAAATAGATTAATATATGCCTACAATATAGTAGATAATAACGTGTGACAATCAGAAATAAAAAAATATTGAATGAATTGGAATAATAATATAATATTAATATATATAAAGTTAAACTATAACATGATTACATGTAATATAAAGGAAAAAAAATATAGACATTATATATCTTACGGATGAAGAGTAAGGTAATCATTTATTGAGATATAATTGGGGCAGGAAATGGGATAGTGGCATGGTACCATAAAAAACGGATTTTAATGGTATTTTAAGCCGGTGGGCGGTATGGTTGGATGAATGAACCATATTAAAATAAATTAACGACCAGATGCACATATCATGATACACATATACATACGCCCCGTCAACACGCACACACACTAAACACACACACCAACGCCACACACACCACACACCGCACACAACACACACGCACAAATGCCACATACACAGGCACAGGGCACAGCACACACACACGGCACACACACACACGCACATACACATACACACACACTCACACACACACACACACACAACAACACACTCACACACACACACACAAATCACACACACACAACACACCACACACACACACACGCCACACACACACACATCTTACACACAAAAAGACATGCAAGTAGGGGGGCCTTGTAACATTTAGTTCCCCGAAGATTCCCCAGTGTCACCTTAGTTCCTAACAACTTTTCGGGATGCATGCCTTGACGTTTCAAGAAAACTGTTTTGTTAGCTTCAGCCAACTTTCATTGGTCTTCCTATCTTGCAGGAGTGGAGAGAATGGGAGAAGGTAGAGAAAGAGGAGAGAGAATAGAGGAGGAAAGAGAGAGCGAGGAGAGGAGTAGAATAAGTAAGAGAATATTAAGAAATGAGAAAATAAAGAAAAAATAAGATGAGGGAATAAGTACAGGTGCCACCACATTATACCCCTCTCCAGTTAAACATCCAGAATCCTTGAAGTCCCAAAACCTTGAAAACCCAATATACCACTCTTATTAAAAAGAGGGAAAAAGAGAAAAAAAATCCCTCTCTATCCATCCAAACTAAACTTATTTCATCAATGATCCATTTTTTCCTGCAACGGCCACAATAACCACTTCATCAAGGGCCAACCCACACACAACACCGTCTCTGCTCTCGCCCGATATCCATGACATCCCCCCATGACAATGTGATGGACGATCCCATTAGGTAATGTGCCATCGACCTTATCTGGCCGCCTGACTTTGAAATTGAGATTGACTATTGACGTCGGAAAGTGGCGATAGGAGGGTACACAGATATACTTCTGGGTGTACCGCCTCCCGGTCCGTAGTCGGTGGCACTATTGTTCCAGACTGGTACGGTAATAGGAACCATAGGGGTACGTGAAAAAACATTAAGTTGTGTCCTTTTAAGCTTTTGTTATTAAAAATTACTTGTTCTACTCGGTTTATAAATTCGAAGTTTGGTTGACCAAGCACTCCTGTAATGCAGTTTTTGTTATTTTAAAGCATTGTTATAAATCATCCCTTTCTATGCGTTTATTAAATCGAATGGTCATTGACCAACACTTCCTGCAAATGCAGTCTTGTCATAATAGTATATTATTGCATATAACAACTTTTTGTTAGCCATGGTGGACGGACGGGAGGGAGTAGGGTACGAGAGCGGTTAAAAGAAGTGTTAGGTGGTAGATAAGGTAATAGGCATAGTGTGGATAACGAAGGTGAGTAATAACGTTGGAAATTATGCGTTTAAAGAGAGGATCGAAGACGTGTTGATTACTAGATAAGTGGGAATAAATTACATGAGAGGATAATGTAATAATTTTCGCATGCGAACAGGAGACAAGCAGAAAGGGAGGAGATCAAGAGGGGAGAAAAGCACACGGAAGAGTATGATAGACGGAAGGAGAGGAGCATGACTGAGTTATCCGCCTAAGTATGCCCTGATGAAAGCGTATGAGAGAAAGGCACGAGAGAGGAGAGAGGAGAGAAGAGAAGAAGAATAGGGATGAGAGACTCATGAATATGTCGGGTGTGTGAGATTCTGCCCTGCCTTCGTTGTTTCCTGTTGCAATCTCTTCATCATGAATTCCACAAATGTTAAGCATTCATTATGAGCGTGGAAATAAACATGTCAGGTGATATATGGGACCACATTGGGGACAAGTGGATAGGTCATATGATGGTGATGAAGTGATGGAGAATTTATTGTTCTACATGATACGAAAGTACTTAGATTAATGCGTTAGAATAGAATTATTACCAATTGATGATGATGGAATGGATGGATGAGTGAAGTAATAATTTAAGATAATATAATAATGTAATAATGATGGCTGATAATAGTGAAGTATGAATGAAGAATTAATGATGGATAAACAGGAGAATAGAAGTAGAGAATTGATATTAATGAGCGATAAATATGGATATAAAAGCAAGTGGTGAAAAGTAATATTTGACTGAGAATAATAAGTAGATCATAATAGTAATTAGGTGAATAATAGAAAGTGAAATAAGCAACAGAAGAAAAGAATAAGATAATGAATATAAGGACCGAGACCGCGGAAGATGAATTATACCAGAGAATAGATGGGTAAGAAAATTCACCACACCCAATTAAATTTCCCCCTTAAGCCAACAATAAGCAACAAAAACAACGACGGGACATGATATAGAAGTTCAATGACTTAATGAAGAAATAACAGCATGATAATAAAAATATCATCTCAATCAAATCTTTATAACTTATTCATACATTAATTTCATTGTCTTGCCAGCCAGCCAAGTTCTAATTAAATTATAATTTGACATGTGAGGCAAAAGTTCGGAGGTTATTCATAAATGATTCCGATTAAAGAGGCGGGCAAGAAAAAGATTTCCTTAGCTTCCCCGGTAATAAACTGCCAAGGTGGGGTAGTCCGATGTTGTGTACTGGGACTTACATTCCGGGGATATCTCATAATTCGAATTTGTTTTGGTGTAGGATGTGTTGTGGCCATATTGAACGAATATATGACTGGGTTATATAAAAATGGTCATGTCCGAGGTTATATCGCCGTAATCGACCGCCATCGGAATTTTTTCCCAAGTTTTGGCTCCCCGCTCTGTTTGTCCAGCCATATTGTAGTGAACCGCGAGAGGCGGTAAGGTTCCTGTTCTCTTTCGTTTATTTTGTTTAAATATCTTTTCGCTTTAAGTTGTGGCGATGAAGAGTAAAAAGGGGAGTGAAGAATTTGACGGGGAAGAAATGTGACGTAATCCAAGGAGATCGTCAATGAATCATATACTTTTTTTTCTTTGAATGTATAACTCCGATTATTTTGTAGGTTTGTGTGAAGAAAGCTTTGCCAGGTGTTGGGGAAAGTGGGAAAAAAAGGGAGGGAAGGGGAGGCTCCGTAAGGAAAGAAAGGAAAAGGGAGGGGAAATAAAGAATGAGCCGGAGGTGGGGGGGATGGGACGGTGAGGGGGAAGCGGAGATGGGGACAAAAGAGAGGGTGGAAGTGGAGGAAGAAGGGAAAAGGGGGAGGGGGAAGGGGATGAGAAGAGAATGGAAGTGGAAAGGTAGGGTTAAGGGGTAGTATGTAGGGAAGGGAAGTAGTGAGAGGGATGGATGTGCAAGGAATAGGATGGGAAGGATGGTGTGATTGGGAGGTGAAGGTGGAAAAGAAACTGATGAAGGGTGAGGAAAGGAGAGTCCCGAAGGAAAAGAAGTGGCTTAAGGTTAGGGACATAAGGTATAAAAAGGGCATAATAAGTAGAGGAGGATAAGGACAGGCCAAAGGTATATATAGGACGAGAAAGGACGGAAAAAGGAGGATGGAAGAGGCATAAAGCGGATAGGCGGATAAAGAAGGAAGTCTCGTAATGTGGAGAGTTGGCGTATACGGGAAACATGTTAAGCCCTATTAAGTCCGGATAACCCAGAGGGGAAAGAGATATAATGAGAAACGTACCGCAGGTGTGATAAAAGATTCGGGATCGGAGGACACAGAGGTGGAGTTGCCGAGGGTAAGCAAGGGACTATCGGCTTTCATAAGAGAAGAAGGATGTGCTGAAAGTAGATATATACTAGCTTAGATGGAATTTATATACAGATCGGCTCTTGTGTTTAAACTGAACCGCGTATCACGCAATATTGACGGTGGTGGGTAAAAGAATGGTGGGTGACAAATATTCAACTTGTGATCGAAAAGGTGGTTGCATGTTGAATCTTCTCGAGGTCGATATAATTCGCTGAATACCAGATGAACATTTAGGAAACGAAAGAAAAAGTAACGGTATACCGTCTATAAGTAAGTGAAGAACGGGGGAAGGAGAAGCGTAGTTAATAGATATCTTTGGATCCGAATAAAAACCAGACTATATGTTATGTTATTTGCCAGATCGAACCGAAGAGAGAATAGTGTACAATAAGTTAAGAGACTAGAAGAAAGACGAAGAATAATCTTATACTAGATTCGATTTGAAATCTAGTTCTTATAGTTGCTAAAAAAGTTTCAATGAATTCATATGTAAAAAATTTGCTTTCTCTCTTTTTGAATCTGTTCTTCTTTAAAAAAATGTTCTTCTCCTCTCGATTGAAGATAATTCACTACTATATGTAAGGTGTTCTTTCTCTCTTTTTAAAAACTGTTACCTCTCATTTATTCTCGTTTATTAGTTTCTTTCTCCTCATTCTTTGATAATATAATATCCTTACTCTTCTGTACTAACAATCCTTCATTACGTGAGAACTCAATCTGTTTCCTTTTGACGAACTGTGTCTTTACGTGATTACACATAAAATGTCTACTCCATCAGAGGAAGAGCATAATACTCTATATTCATGTGTAATTGCGTATGAGGAAAAAACACATCTTTCTAGAATGTTACCATGTGTGACAAGTGAAAATGTTCGTTTTTCGTCCTTATCCGTTTGTGTGTTCCGTGCTGCTTATCCGACTGCCATAAGGCCAAGATAACCCGCTATGACCTGGCTCGTGCTACTGGGGAGGCCGTGGGTTGATGAGGAGATGGCCGTTAGATAAATGGTGGTGAAGGGATGGTGCGCATGGTGGTGGTGACTGCGGTGCGTGGTTGGTGAAGAAGATGGTAGCGGTGGTGGTACTGCGATGGTAGTGGTTGGTGACTGCGTGGTGGTGGTTGAAGAAGAATGGTGCGGTGGTGCGTTGACTGCGATGGTGGTGTGGTGACTGCGGTGGTGCGTGTGATAGAAGATGGTAGCGGTGGTGGTGACTGCGATGGTGGTGGTGGTGACTGCGGTGGCGGTGGTGACTGCGATGGTAGCGGTGGGTTGTGACTGCGGTTGTGAGGGTGAAGGAGAGGGTAGCCGGTGTTGGTGACTGCGATGGTGATAGTTGCTGGTGGCCCCGATAAGGATAATGGTGGTACGGTGGCGATGATAAATGAAATGATGGTAAGTAGGTGGTATGATAATTGACAATAACAATGAGGATGACAGTTAATAAAATCCAGTGCGGTTGATGACGGCGCAAGCTCGATGATGACAAGGATGACGGGCCAAACACTAAAAACGGAAGAGAAAGAGGATGACACCATGCGCTCATGACGAAAATTCCACCAGCTGTTACGAGAGAGAGAGAGCAGAGAGAGAGGAGAGGAGAGAGGAGTGAAGAGGGAGAGAGAGAGAGAGAGAGAGAGAGGAGAGAGAGAGAGGCTGAGGGAGGGATGGGAGTGAGGGAGGAGAGGGAGGAGGGAGAGGGAAGAGAGGGGAGAGGAGGGGGAAGAGGGAGAGGGAGAGGGACGAAGGGAAGAGACGAGGCTGTTCGTTAGACTGTTCGTTTCTCTATTTTCGCAAATTGTTTTTTTTTATTTCCGTAAATTATTCTTTCTTCCATAAAACTGTCCTTTCTTTCGGAAATGTTTTTCCTTCGCAAATACACTTCTTTCTCTCTTTCTCTCTTATTGCTCAGTGAACCCGTATTCATAGTTGACAAATGGATTAGAAAGGTATGAAAGAGAAATGGTCAATATCTTCACAAGAGATGTATTTGAACACGGTGGTTCGATCATATCGTCGCGTCAGAAAGATAAAGATGTAATACCCAATTGTAGAAAAGCGTAATGAATGAGAATGAATTGATGCGTTCACCAATACAAGAGATGTATTTGACCGGTTTTCGATCATATCTCCGACAGAAAGATTATAATACACTGTAGAAGAAGGTATGAAGTGAGAGATTGAATAACTTACAATAAAAGAGATGTATTTTGACGGTTCGATCATGAAGCTCCATCGAGAGAGATATATACACNGTGTGTGTGTATTTGTATAGATGAATGTGTGTGTGTTTCTGTGTGCGTTTGTTTTTTATGTGATTATGTATTTATGTACGCAATTCCTACGTGCTTATCTATATCTTTATGTCAAAGAATAAGAGGTTCTTTCCTTTTCGCAATATGACTATATATATATATATATATA